TTTAAACTACCAAACTCTCTTGCATTTTTAATGTCAATAAGGATAAAGAGAAAACTTGGCTTAATTATACCATGATATACAGTAAATATATTAATAAAATCAAAGGAGGTTTTAATTTCATGGCTCCTTAAACTGCTAGCCATCATTATAGAGAATAATTAATTTTTAGGTTACTGAAAAATCACTGAAGAATGCCAGCTTGTTTTATAGCAGCATATCATTATATTAAAGGATTAAAATGGTCAAGAAATTTATAAAACCTGATACGCACATCAATTTTAATTAAATGCATAATTTAACTTAATTACATCCATTTTAATGCTTCTAAATTATTCTACCATCTGGGTAGAAGAGAGAATTTAGAAGAGAAATAGCATTAAAAATATAATTTCATTAAGGGTTAAATAAAAAAGCTGACTATATTAACTCACTAGTAAGACTAACCCTGAATATATCTAATACTAGGGGCCTGGTGCACAAAATTCATGCACTGGGTTGGGGAGGGGTGTCCCTCAGCCCAGCCTGCCCCCTCTCACATACAGGGAGCCCTCAGGGGATGTCCTAGTGACGGCTTAGGCCTGCTCCCTGTTCCCCTTGGGGATAGGACCTAAGCCACAGTCTGGCCTCCCTTTGTGGGAGGTGACCCCCAGACCAAGAAAAGACAGAGCCAAGGCATTATCCACTGAGCCAAACCAGCTAGGGCAGGATATGACATGTCTTAGCCCTCCAGCAGCGGACCTTCATTTTTTTCGCCAGGAGTGTGGTGAAAAACCCTAAATTACTAAGAATATTACCAGTGGCATACAGGGAGCTTAACCAATGAGTGGTCAGAAAAGGTTTCTCCTCTGTAGTTCACACCAAGGCTTGCCCCCTCACCCTCAGGCCTGACGCCTCTGGCCCAGGTGTCAGGCCTGGGCAGGGGACCCCCAGACCCCTCCGGTTGCTGGCTCTGCCCCCTGCCCAGGCCTGATGCCCTGGCCAGAGGCGTAGACCCCCATCACCCTCCGATCACCTGATCGGCCCCTTGCCCAGGCCTGACGCCTCTGCCAGAGGTGTCAGGCTTGGACAGGGGACCCCCATCTCCCCCTGATCAAAAAAAAGCGCCTCCCCCTGCCCAGGCCTGACACCTAGGCCAGAGGTGTCAGGCCTGGGCAGGAGACCCCCATCTCCCTCTGATCTCCGGCTCGGCCCCCCACCCAGGCCTGACGCCTCTCGCTGAGGCATCAAGCCTGGGCAGGGGACCCCCAGAACCCCTCCAATTGACAGCTCCACCCCCTGCCCAGGCCTGATGCCTCGGCCAGAGGCATCAACCTCCATCACTCTCTGATCGCCGGATCGGCCCCTTGCCCAGGCCTGACGCCTCCACCAGGCGCTGTCCCGCCTTGCCTGCAGTATGCAAATTAGCTGCCATCTTTATTGGCGGTTAATTTGCAAATTGCGCTGATTAGCCAATGTGAGGCGTAGCGAAGGTACGGTCAATTACCATGTTTGTCTATTATTAGATAGGATTGTTAGGTAGAGAAAAGCAAGGTACAAAATAGCATGTTTAATGTCCTATCAATTAGATGAAAATGGGGGAAATATACATTTGCATAAAATTACTCCGGAAAGATACAAGCAGAACATAGTGGGGAACCTAGAGATTAGGAGACTGAACATC